ATTAATCGACTCACGGTGCATAATAAAAATACCATACAGCTATGTTGTATTATACTCACCTTTTGAATACATATCAATTATCATCAAGCTCATTGAATCATAATTTTATGCATGTTCACAAGTACCTGACCAAACTCAAACAGGCTCAATGCAGCTTTACTTGCTTCATCATAATCATCTTGAGTCATCAGTCCACTCTTAACAATCTACAAGGGAAAGTGATCACCAAAGAGAAGGTCAGTTCTGCTTACATACATAAATATAATATCTCTCCCTATTTGGTCCCGCCCGGATTTGCACAAAAGAAGCAATGGAACAATTTTTTTGAAAAAAGAAAAAGAAAACCGAAACAGTTAATGGGTTTAGAAACATACTGGTTGATGGACCTGTAAGTTGAAGAAGAAGATGGAACAATTTTTTTGAAAAAAGAAAAAGAAAACCGAAACAGTTAATGGGTTTAGAAACATACTGGTTGATGGACCTGTAAGTTCAAGTTACATGAATACAATGAAGCATATATCCAAATGAACTTATTATGTGAAGCTCAGCAAAAGAGAATAAGGTTAAAAGGCAAGCAAGGAATGCAAACCTCTTCTGGCGTTATGGGAACATCATGATCTTCAGCTTTAGTAGTTGGTGTGAGTATATTTGCATGCAATTTTTGGTTTTTCACCATACCTGAAACAGACACGTGGATTCGTAAGCAAAATAGAATAACTGTGTAATTGGTCTTCATACAGAGTTACGGGACCTCACCGTCAGGAAGAGCATTCCCACAATAGTTTCGAACACCTTTTTGGTAGACAGTCCAAAGTGATGTATCGGTACTTCCAGTCACATAACCCCTAACTACAGATAAGCATCATCATTATTGTTTAGTTGAAGGACCAATCAAACAGAGTACATCAATAACCCCTAAAAGCATTTGCAATGTGCACTTCTAACGGAAATGACTTATGCTCAAAGAAAAATAAAATAAAATTGTTAGCATTGCTAATGACTCACCAACAAATTCGACAGGAAATACAGAACATTTCTTTGCAATAGTAACATTCCTATCTGGAGATGACACAACTGCATTTGGAATAATGTGATGAGTTTTACTAAACCACCACAAACTTGTCTCATTGAGTACCTGAAAAGTAACAATGAGTCATCAACAACGAGAAACAAAAATTAACCTTATTACTGACTCAAAGCTTAATGCATAGGCAAGATTTGGCGATACATAACCTGGCCCTTATAGGGAATTGAAGCAAGAACTCTGTCGAATGCACTTTGCCTGTCGGTTGTTACTAGAACAAGATAGTTTCCTCCATCATAAATATCTCTCACCTACGAAATCAAACTGACTATCATATTTTCATACACACTATTCAATATCGATATGTAACTATTGGCAGTGATTGACTATTCATTTAGAACGAGTGAATACAAAGAAACAGAACCGAGTGCGCAGAAATGTGAAATCCTAGCATCAAAGAAACATCCTTCAAAATATTAAAACTTTACAGCCATTGAAGTCTAATAAAGAAGAAAACACAATCTTTACCCAAAGATAAACTTTTTCCT